TCACCGCCCTGGACGAGGCACGGCGCGGGGGCAGCGTCGAGGACTACTCCGTCACGCAGACCACCCTCGAGGACGTAAGTGTCGGTCTGTCCTTATGCGTATTGCTGTTGAAGATGCGGGTGTTGTAATTTCTTATTCTGCGTGTTCTAGGTGTTCATGCGGTTTGCGCGGGCGCAGAGGGCGGAGCACCCTTAGGGGAGAAAGAGAGAAGAGACATGGTAGGATAAACAGACAGGTGTTGGTGTACTTACAACTACACTTCGATAAACCTGTGTTTCAAATTGCTCTTGTTAACCTGTGTTACCGTTGTCATGTGGAGGGACCAATTTTGTAAATTATTGACGAATAAATGTGTACATTGTGCGTTTTGTTACAATCGTCCAATTTTATTCTTTGAACTCCATAAAAACATCTAGCTTTTATATCGAACCTGTTCAAGGTCGTTAAGGGGCAGGGCTTGGGCGTCGCATTACAAACCGCGCCCCAACCACTTGTTGCGATGAAAAACTTTCGCATCAACACACGAATAAGCAACTTTACTTAATTTCCCTAACAGGTGTTTTTGATTCACAAAAACGACAGTTTTATTGACGTATGAAGTTTACGCTGGATCCACGACTTGTAAGTTTGCTCGGAAGCACATCATAGTCTTACCCTTATCTTGGAGAGCGACTTCCGCTGCAAGTGAAATCTGCAAGAAACATTTCAATCATTTCATTTTTCATTTTATTCGCCAAGGCTCCGCCTAGTGACACCCTTATTAGGCTTTACTCACGCTGGGGTACTTGGAATCTATATCTAACTGCAGCCGGTAGGTTATCTCTTCGTACTGGTCGAGGGGACACTCGGCGTTTGTCAACGACATGCACGCGTTCTTCTGCTTGAGGGGGAAGTTGATGACGGTGCCTAGCGCGTAGGCCGTCACCACCACGTCGAGCTGCGTCACGTCCCAGCCGACTTCAAAGTCCACCTCCATGACGGCGACCGACCCCTTCTCGACCTGGCACGGCTGCTTAGTGCAGCCCTTGATGCGCAGCGCGATCGGGTCGTGGGCCTTCGTGCCTTGAACATTACAACCATGCCGACGCCGGCCTTCTCGTTGAACACCGCCCTTTGTGAGGTGCAGGACGCAGGGCCGCACAGCCACTCTTCTACTTACAGGACAAGAAGGGCGTGCTTAACGTAGCGTTCAGCGCACCGCTCGCCGTGCCGGCTGCAAGCAGCAGGGCCGCGAGGGGCAGCATCGGGGAGGCGACGTGGGCCTTCATGACGACGAGGAGCAGCACTCCTTGCGACCTGCGCGGCGTACCTGCTGTCACTGGGGGTTATCTGGCGACGGCACCTGCGTGTCCGACACCTGCAGATAATGCTGAGAGTGCTATGGGCAGTTCGTCCCGATTAGTCGCACGCCTCCCGACGCAAATCATACTCGATCACTGCTAAACCTTGACAGCCACGCGGAAAACACACGAAATCGTAAACTGTGTGGGGATTCATGAAACATGAGACGCATGCACACGATGCAGTGGCTATTTCAAGCACAGCGCGATCTTATTTCCGCCCGACGCCACACGAAAATACACCAGTGTGGCGTGTCCGGGGCGCGGCGACAGTCGCGGGCGCGTCGATAGCGCGCCCACGCGACGCGACGAGGGCCCCGCCGCGCCGGGCGCTTAGGCAGCCCATCCAGCGCCGGTGCCGGACCGGCGCGCGCAATCGCACCGGACAGGCGTCTGCCGCGTCGCAGCCGAGGGGGCCACCACTTTGATTTAGAATGTACTCAGGATTACGTGATTACAGGGATTACACGTGAATTTTCAGGGATTACACTTGAGTTTTCTTGAATTTCTCGCTCTACAACCGTGAAATTTCGACAATAAGGCGAAATTAAGCGATAATGTTTTAAAATTTGGTCAAGAATTACTCGGAATACATAAGGATTGAACAGGGATTACACCCTCATTTGTAAACAGGATTACGCGAGTGGTGGGCCCCCTCGGTCGCAGTGCCATGCCATGTCATGAAAGACATAATCAACTACCCCCTGAGGGCGTTGGCAAGCGCTCGTCTAGGCGAGCGAGTTTGACGCGATGTCAGACCGCGGCCGGTTGCTATCGACCCGCAGCCCTCCGCCCGCTGCTCCCTCTCGGCCGTGCGAACTACATTCTGTCAATCACGCTCGCCCTGCCGGCCGGCTGCCGGGCACCCAAGTTTACAATGGTCCCGTAACGAACGCGTCTGCCGACAGTGGGGCGCGCGTCGTCGTCGCGTTTGCTCGCATTCGAGAGTCACGGGACCCACACTTGTTATACAGTTGTTGGGTTGTCAGACTAACGACTGAATGTCGCACTGGCAGTATTTTTGCATCACTGTGGAATAGAGCAGCTCTGGCCAGATGCGATGGGTTTCCTGCTGCAACTAAGAATTCTCCTGTGGAAGAACTTCCTCATCAGGAAAAGAAACAGGGTAACGAACGGCGTTCTATTAACTACAAGCTTTTTCAACAAACAACTAAAAGGCATTATGAGGAAGTTGCCCGATATGAGGAACAAAAAGAAGGTAGCGCTGAGGAGGTGGCGTGGCGTAGCGCCGTCCCTAGACAAAGGAGAACGCGGGCGACCATACTGTGTTTTGTCGCAAGTGGATGCATCCACATGTGTGATCATAAATCAAGTTTTGTTGAATTTCTAAAGAAAAATTGGATCCATAATAGACCGGCGTAACAATCTTGTGTCAAAAAGTGCTTCTGTAAAGTTTGGCTTCGGAAAAGTAAGTTTATACAATCTTCTAAACCGTCCCGGTGTCGTTGTTTAGGTTAGTGTTCGCGGACATATCGCATTGGTACAATTTTAACTCAACTGTCGTGCAACGGCCCCTTCTAAACTGTTTGAAATCTAACGACACGCATCCTAACCTCTGCTAGACGGTCGCTCATCTTCTGCCTTGTTTAGGGACGGCGCTACGCCACGCCACCTCCTCAGTGCTACCTTCTTCTTGTTCCTCTTATCGGGCAACTTCCTCATACCATTATACAATATATTCATTATTTATTTCCGCAGACGCGGCTCGTCGTTGAAATAGTCTCTCCTCTCCTGTTGTTTGTTTTCATGCTTGCCGTAATACCGGCCCCCAAAAGTTACAATGAATGTGAGTTTTACGATTTTAATTCAACAATGTCACGAATGAAGGAAAACTGTGGAGAGAACCTCACCCCTATCTCCTCGCTGCTGCAGGTCACTACATGGACAAGGCCATGCCCTCCGCCGGCCAGCTTCCATTCCTCCACTCCTTCCTGTTTCACTCACTAAACCCGTGTTCCGACGACAAGGGTGACTCTCTCTTCCCAGATATTCACCTATGCCGTTTGCTGTCGGGTACCGATCTGACCTTAACCCACTTCAGGACGGTCCCAGACGAACCGAAAGAATGCAAGCCAGTTGGAGACTTGATTACAAAATTGACTTGCATCATGGGCTGGAATGTGATTAAGCCCTTCATCACGTAAGTCGTACAGAATTATATTTCGCAAAGGAAAATCAAAGTTTCTGCACCGGTAAATGCAGTGCTAAGCGAATGATGTGTGTTGGGCTTGATCAGGGGGAAGATCCTGTACTACCCGGATACTGCCGTGACCAGAGCCATCATGATGCAGGTCAACGCTACGTTTAACGAGATGACTGATTTATCCACAATACCATCAGAGCTTCTGCAGGTAGAGCGTACTGATAGAAGAAATAGTAACAACTCAACTTGGGAGCCAAACGCATTAGTGACTTTTGAGCACTTTCGAGTAAAGGGGGTGGCTTTCAACAGGGGCGTAGGAACGGGGGGGGCAGGGGGTGGACTGCCCCCCCCCCCCCGAGCGCCCCGAAGGGGCGCCAAACCCGCCCTGGAAGGGCGCAAAGAGGCGCCCCTCCCTCATCCCGCGGGGATTTTGGCGCCCCAATGACCAAAAAATTTTCGCGCTCACTTCGCTCGCGATGTTTTTCATTACCTCTCTGGAGCCACGACTTCATGTCATATGCTATATGCTTCCATTTTCTAAACATAACAGCTACGCATCAAACTTCGTCCGCTGCCACT